TCTCCCGAGCTAAGCTCTCCGAAGAAGCCGGACACACTTGTGCCGCTCAAGCCCCCACTCTTTCTGCCCCCCACGTGCCCCCACCCACGCTGTCAGGAACACTCGCCGAGGGCCCGCTACTTTTGAAGTGCAAAAGGATGTCTCTTGCCGCTGGAGCATCTCTCTTCTTGGATAACGAAGTTTACTTTGAGCGCTACCTACGCTAAAGTGACAGCGAGTTATTAAACTGCTTTTGCCCTTTTGGTGTTACCTCTTTTTAATCTGTCGAGACCTTCAGAGTTGGATAAAATGATGCCTTTTATCCACTATTCGTTGTGTGTCTTCTGAGCACCTTTTCTTCTAGCTTGCTGTTCTTTTTACCTGAAGCCCCATCTAATGAATGAATTTCATCTTCCAACCGCTTATTCCAGTTTTTCCCTAATGAAGAGTGATGACTCAGCATTCGCATTCCTTTCTGGATAGTGTGGCACTCCTTTCATTTTCCTACATTAAAAAAAGTCTGAGTGATTTCTGATTAAATGTTTAAGTTGGGCACCTTCGGTTTTGCCAGCCTCTCGAAGCTCCACACACCTACCTCCAGTACAAGGAGTCAGATGGCCGCTTTGTTTTTTTCACTTGCCTCTGCCAGGTGTTGATATGATCAGAGTTCAGCTGGCTCTGCCATTTAATGGGGAAATTACTTTTTGGGGAGTAGATGAAGGTGGATGGATGGGTCCTCAGGAAGTTTGACTAGCTTCTCTTCCGTCCTACCAAAGAAAAGCCCTCTTGGTAAAGCAGATAGATACCTGTAGGATATTGATACAGGTTTGGTGTGTGTTTGGGGGGAGGGGCATGCACTTTTTTTCATTCCTATTTCTCTCACTAAAGTATTTGCTATCCTGTTTTGAGAATTTGAGGCCAACTTAAGCACATCAGGTGCCTGAATGAAAAGCCTGCTTAGCGAAACTTTGTTCTGTCTTCCATTTTGTCCTTCTTTTCCCAGAAAAGAGAATTGGGACATATTTGAAATTTGTCCTTTAACGTCTGTTGAAGCCAAGGCTTGATGTTTAGTTAGCAGTGTGTACTTTGATGGAAGCATCTGGGAAAGCTGGAGCCTAGCTAGCATGTATTTAACAAAGATAAAAGTTACATTGTATTGTCCTGGCCCTGTGGCTCAGTTGGTTGAGCCTCACCCTGTGCACTGAAAAGTCCTGGGTTCTATTCCGGATCAGGGCACATGCCCAGATTGTGGGCTCAATCCCTGGTGTGAGGCAGCTGTGTTTCTCTCTCACATCAGTGTTTCTGACATCAATGTTTCTCTCTCCCCCTTTCCCTTCCTTTCTAAAATAAATAAAAACATTTTAAACAAGTTACATTGTATCTAAAAATCTAAAATATTATTGCATCATAGTAGCTGCTGAATAATTAGTAAATTCTCATGGCATATTTCTCATTAACTGTATTTATCTTTTGCTTATGAACAGAAATTCTTGTTTTTGCCATGCTAAATAATATGGTATTTCAATACTTTTAATTTATATAACTGTCTTTGCATCTGCCTTGTCTTCATCGCCGTCATACCTTAGACTTCCTCCGATAGACTAATAAACTAACTTCTCTGTCACTTATTTCCTACCTGGTCCCTCTCCAGTCTCCTGTTCTTTCTCTGAAGCACACTTACGTTGTTTGTGTTTCTAGTTGTCTGAAAGTATGACACGTGTACGCGTCAATGAGGAGCCGCCTTGAGCCCGGCGCGCGCTCACTGTTCTGTCTTCCTTTTCCCTCCTCCCGCAGTTCTCATGGGAAGGGTTTTTTAGACAAGGACGCTGCAGCTTCCTAGGTCTTGTCCCCTGCAGCACTTAGTTCGCTGCCTGGAAATAAGAGGTATTCAAATATTTTACAATGATTGTACGTCTTTTCATTAAATTAGTATTGTCCTTTTTTTAAAAAGTCCTGATTGATTTAAAATTATAGGCAGACATGACTGTCATATACACATGGTGCTGTCTGTTGATTTTATGTATATTTTAAAACTTCCAAATGTAAAATTTTGAAGTAAAAGCAGATGTTTCACAATTGGGATTTTCTTGGTCAGATTTTAATAAAAAACAATGCATAGTAGTTTTAAGTGTTTATTTTACGTATTACTCCTCAGAGGGTTCTTTAGATACAAGTAATGAAAACTTTTGAAGTGACTTTAGAGATCGATATCTAGTAGGGTTTTATTTTGTTTATTTATGGAGCTCCTTTTATTTTACATTGTAATCTATGGGTTAGGTTTTCAAGTGGCTAGTATGTTTTAAAAGAATGTACTCTTAACAAAGCTTATCTTAAACTGTTTCCTTAAAATGCCTGTGTGTTACTAGTGAGGTTTTTTTCCTGCAGACACACACAAGCTAAGACATATGGTTCTATCATCAGAAAACAATATGGTGTTTATAGCCTAGGTAGGTCTTTAAATATTCATTACCTACAGTATTACTAATTTATTTGATGGTATTTAAAGTGGTATAGAATTGCTTTGATGTTGAACCTAAAGTTTTTCATATAGTTGCTTTAAAGGTCTGTTTTCTGATGCTCTCCATTCTCATTTGATACTTATTTGGGGGTAATATGTATTGGGGTAACTTGTGATTTTAAAAGCAAACAAATGAGATCATGCCATGTAATACTGGTGTTGGAACTGGACTGCCTGACACCTACCTTACAGGACCCACATTTCAGATGTGTTGTGGGTAGCTTTGAGTGCAGTGATTTGAGCCATGGTATATCTGAATCTGTAATCGACATTAAATTATAATGGTGTTCTGTTGTAGTTTATTTTCTTAATCTACCTACTGCACCAAAATGAGTAGGAATTGTGGATCTGGGATATTATACCACGTTATGCAGTGCCATCCTTTAAGACGGTTCTTCCTGATAAGAGACTCAGTCAAGAGGAGGAAATAAACCAGTGATTTAGAGTATAATCTGAATAGCTAAGGGCAATAACAGAAGAAAATACTATTAAATCCCATTATAAAATTGACTAGCTATACCATGGATGTGGCTGTATTGTGGCTGTAATTAAGCCCTTTATTCAACTTAATCATAGTCTCTGTTTCTTTAAAATGTATGTATATGTGTGTCAGTATCCCTTATGTAGTTGGTCAGTTCACCTGCACCTTGCCTCCTACCTAAAATGAAATATTGGCAGATTGATAATTCATTAGAGGCTCACTGAAGGGTATTGTTGCAAAATCTCCTCTTGTATAGGAACTTGTCAAGAACAAAAGTAAAAATGTTACTTTATTAGAGAAGTTTGGTTATAATATGTTTTGTAAAAATGCTAATAATTTCAGCCCTGGTAGGGCTACTCTTTTCAGAATGAGAACACATTCAACGTTGAAAAAGTGTGATTTGTCTTTTGTCTGAAAGGCATGATGTTCTTAACTTAAAATTCTGCCCAGTTGGACATAAGAAGTAGTTTTGCACTGTGAACTTTTGCCTACTGTGCAACTGCCAAGTTTCTAGTCTCAAATTGAATTTTAACCCTGATGTTAGGGATAAAGGCATCATTTTCCATTTTTAATGCTTTAGTTCCTACAGTTCCTGTTCTTAGAAGACAAACTAGACCAAAGGTATGCCTTTTTTTCTTTTCCCTTGAGTTAAAGATCTTTTTGGAATTTCCTAAATGTTTACTCTTTGCATTGACCTGTCAGTACAAAAATTTGAGCCATTTGTTTTTTTCTGTTATTTTATATATGATCTTTGAATATAAATTTTATATTTAAACACTTGGAACATTAGAATATGTTGACTGCTTTGTAACCAGAGCAGAAAGAAGTTTGCTGCTTTACCACAGAACTTTTAGTGGAGGCATTTGAGAAATAGGAAAACTTTTAAAATTAGGTTTTTCTGTAAGTATTTCATGCTTTTCTAAACTTTAACATTTTACTTTTCGGCATCAGTGCTTGAAATGTAAGTTAGTATATCTAAATGTGCCTCTAGAAATTCTTCAAAATCTAGAACTGATTGGAGTAGGTTGACTTGAAATAAAAATCCTATGAAACATTAACAGCTTTGGTTGTGACTGTTACGTATGGAAGGTAATTAATGCCCATGCAGTTTTTCCTGAACAAATCAAGGTTTTAAACAGTAATGCAAATTTAAAACTATTTAAGATTTGTTATAATGATCATTTTGTTTTAACTTTGTTACTGGTTAGCTTCATATGTGAAAATTAGTTTTATCCACGCCAATTCTCTTAAAAATGAGCTAACTGGCACCTGAGGTTAGATGAATATAACCCTTAGGAGACTGGGGTTACTTGTTTGTTTTCTTTGTAGAGAGGTCTACCTTGTACAAAAAAGAAATTACTCCATCCATGATTGCTCATAAACCCCTATGAGTTAAAAAGGGACAGGAAGTTGTCTAGCTAGCTCATAATCCTATAACCTTTCACTACTGCTGGAAAGAGTGTGTCACTGCATGGCCTACCAATGGGTCTGTTCCACTTTGTTTTTGTTTTGTTTTTGTTAATCCAACCCAGGGATATTTTTTCCATTGATTTTTAGAGAGAGTGGTAGGGAGGGAAGGAGGGGGAGAGAGAAGGAGAGAGAAAAAAACATCAGTGTGAGGCACGTTGGTTGGTTGCCTCCTGTAGGTGCTCCAACCGTGGTGGGGGATCAAACCTGCAACACAGGTATGTGCCCTTGACCAGGAATTGAATCCAAGACCCTTGGGTGGGTGGGCCAACACTCCAACCACTGAGCAACATGGGCCAGGGTTCTTCTACCTTAATTGTAAGCAAAAGATGGCATGGGTGAACCTAAACCAGTTTGTCACTGAGTTTAGTCTTCTATTTAAGTAACGTTGGGCTTGTGTTTCAGTTTTAGAGTATGTAAATTAAAGTTATTAGTACCCATTGCAATGAAGTTCTTAGCTGAACTGGAAAATTGCTATTCATTCCTAATCAGATAATTTTCTTTATTACATGTATCTTTACCTTTCTCAGTCCGTTTTCCCCTTTCAAAGTGTTCTATCTTAAAGCGGTTATGCATTTAATATGGTAATAGATGCAAAGTTTATTTTGGTGTCAGTACTAAGTTTCCAGATGTTATAAGGAAAATAAAAACTTATGTCCATTTACTTTCCAGAAGATACTATGTTAATTTTTACTAATATTGTTTGCTTGATGAGGTTCATAACAGGCAAATTTTAGGAATTATCCACTGGGTACCAGAAAGACTTAAAAGTTTGGCAGTTAAGTAAGCCAAATTAAAATAAATCTGTGGTATAAGAAAAACCAAAGTGGTCATCTCTGGGTGGTGGTGTTCTTTTTTTTCCTTTTTATAAACTTATCTGTATTTAAAATTTTTTATACAAAATACATATATTCAATTTATAATTTTAAAAACAGTACCAACTCTTTAAATATGCATGGTCAAAAGTATACTTGTATTTGTCTTAAATTTTCTCTGTGTTTCTAAAGAAATCTTTATATTTGCTTTATCTAGATAAATATGTATTTTGTTGATTCTGATGTGTTTTAGGCTATGAAATTTCATTATTTTACCCTGCTCTTTTAAAACAATAATGAAAACATAACATCAATAACAATTCTATTTAGCAAGACAAAACAAAACCCCTCTAATATCTATGTGTTTTGCTATAACTTTCTCTTTTTCGTTCATGTAATTGCTTTGTTTGGAGGTCTAAGATAAACTCATGTTAAATCCCTTTATATCTAATATAAAAGAATATCCCCTTATGATCAGGTGTTTTGATGAATCAATAATTTTGTGTGTGTGTGTGTGTTGCACATTATTTTGACTTGTGTTGACATCCAGAAATTGTAGTTATCTTGAGAGTGGTTTAAATTCTTGTTATTTTTATTCTAACAAATAAGGTGAGAAAACAATATGCTTTTGGTATACAAGGTTACATTAATTTGTTCTTTATAAAGTCTTTTGAAATGGTACTTTAATGGCCGAAGAACATTTGTTGCTTTCCTAAATAAGGACTAATTTTACTTTCATAGGATCAGGCTTAACTGGAAAATTGTTATTAAAGACAGGGGAAGTTAAAATGAACTGAAAGGTGATGAGTTAAATGATAACACAGCAGATCCGAGCTGAAAGAAAATTGCTAATGTTTTTTCTTCTTTTTGTCCAGATACGTAGGTAACCTCTCCAGAGATGTCACAGAAGTCCTTATACTTCAGTTATTCAGTCAGATTGGACCTTGTAAAAGCTGTAAAATGATAACAGAGGTAAGATCTTCCCAGTTCCGTGTGCTGACAGCATGGTGTTTAACATTTTGAGATACATGAGTTGATTAGTATCATTTTAAAATAACATTCTAAGTAAGCCTCAAGTTATTCTGATGGAGAGATTCATGTCTGTTGTATTGACTTACTACTTTGATCTGGCTGACAAACTAGGTTTGGAAAGGAGTTTTATTTGCGAGGACAAAGTTCCTGTGCTGTTCTCAAATGGTCATTCTTTATGATGCAGTTACCTCCAAGTGTTCCTGCTTGTAAAAAGTTACTACAACTTATTTCAGAGCGTTGAAAGACTAGACATTTCTTGCAATTCAATAAGAGTGTTACCGAATCAGGTAGTATACATTTAAAGTTTAGGAATTGGTGTATATAAAAGAACATTGGGTTGTTATTTGCATAGTGCAGCACTATGCACCTTGTGTGTTTTTAGTAAATACTAATAACCGAGCAGCCTACTTCAGATAGGAATTTAAATTGTTAGCGTAATAATTTTGTTTTCTTTTTCCCCCAAAGAAAACTACTTTTTATACTTTCCTGGTTAAGATTCTGTAGCAGTGCCCAATGACTTGTGTTTCAGTTTGTTCTCCTCTCCTTATTTATTCAACACTTTTTTTTCCGGATTATTTACTATGTGTCAGGTGTTACGGTAAGTGCTAGGGATACTGTGGAATAAAACAGTTTCTATCCGCATAGAGTTTTACAGTCTAATGAGGGAGACATAGGAGTTAACAGGCACTAATAATACAGGATAATAAATGCTGTGGGAGCAGTTTCAAGTGCTATGGGAGCACATAGGTTCCACTACAGTCTTGGGTCTGGAGCAGCTGCTTAGAGGAGTCAGTGTCTAGGCTGAAACTGAAAATGATAGTAATGGAAACTGGCTAGAAAAGAATTTGAGGACAAAGGGATTCCAGGTAGAGAGAGAAATGTTGATCTAGTCTGGTAGACAGAGCATAAATGCTTGTGAGAGAAAGAGAGGGGGAAAGATAGGAATCATAGCATGTGTGGAGTTTCCAGTGGGATTGGTCAGTCATGGAGATGCCGAGAGATGAGGAGTGTTTGGTAGGGACCAAAAGCTGTACTAAGGAGTTTGTGTTATATCCTGAGGAAGAGAGCAAGTGTTAAAATCTGTAAAGCAAATTGGCCTTTTGATCTTTTTTCCTAACTAGTGATAATCATCAGACTGTTCTTATATATTATGTGTTCTCTTCTTCCTGTTTCTGATTTTTCATTCACTTTTGCACTAATTAAAGTTTACTGTGTGCTAGGCAGTATTCAAAGTTGGGACTGAGGAGAATAAAACAGTTCTATGCTGGTGGTTGGAGGGTTGGTGCTATATGGTGTAGGTGGTGAGGGAAATGTTACCTCTTTGAGCTGAGACAGGAGTAACAAGATGGTGCCATCTACATTGAGAGCTGGAAGCAGAGGGCAGAGCAAATACAAAGGCCTGAGTTGGTAATGAGCTTGGTGTGTTGGTTCAGTAAAAGATCCCAGGATAGCTGGAGCCTGGTGATTGGGGGGAAGTGAGTCTGAAGAGGTAGGCAGGGTTTGGATCACATATGCAGTACAGTCCATGACAGAGAGAGTGGATTTTACTCTGGTTGCAGTGAGGTTTTAAGTAGGGTACTGTGTTCTGATTTGTATTTTTAAGGTACTCTATTCAGAGAATGACTGTAGTGTGGAGAAGGGATTGTAGGGGCAAGAGTTGAAGGGAGGAAACTAACTGGGTTTATTTCACTAGGTAAGAGGGGGTGGGGACGTGTCCTCTAGAGTAGTAGCCATAGAGATAGAGGTTTAGAAACTTGGGATATGTTTTGGAAGTAGAGCCAATAGTACTTGATTGGCTATGGGACATTATAGAAAATAATACATCAAGAATGACCCAAAGGTTCTTGTTTGTGCAGTTATATGGATGGTGATGCTATTTTTAAAAAATATGTTTTTATTGATTTCAGAGAGAGGGAGGGAGAGGGCGAGAGAGATGGAAACATCAATGATGAGAGAAAAATCATCGATCAGCTGCCTCCTGCACGCTCCCTACTGGGGATCAAGCCTGGGCATGTGGCCTGACCGGGAATCGAACCGTGATCTCCAGGTTCATGGGTCAGCGCTCAACCATTGAGCCAAACCTGCCTGACAGTAATGCTATTTATTTGCTAAAATGGGCATTACTGAGGGAGGCACAGGATGGGTGGGAGTAGTGGGAATCAGGAACTCTGTCTTGGCGATCCTAAATTTAAGATGTGCATTAGACAGCTAAATGGACATTATATGTAGGCATTTGGATAAACTAGTTGGGAACTTGAGAGAGACCAGTGCTGATGATACCAGCTTGCAGTAGTATTTGAGGCCATGGGACTAGGTGACATCTAGTTCCTAGACCCAGAGAGAGCGCTGGCAGAGAAAGAGAAGAGGACCCTGGAGCATCAAGCCTGAGCTGAGGAGGAAGAACTACCTTTTGAAGGACCCCCTTCCCCATGAGGAAATAGAAAAACTAAGAGTATAGTAGAGTGTGAAGGAGAATATTTAAAGGGGGAGATGGCATCTGTTTTGAATTTTGCTTGAAAGGTAAGATGAGGACAGAAAAGGCGTCGCAGAGGTGGCAGAAAGGTCATTGCTGAGTTCAACTTGAAGTTCCAGTGGCCTGGCTGGGTTGGAAGCTGACTGGAGTGGGTCTAGGAGACAATGGGATGTGAAAAAGTGGAAAGAATCACTAGAAAATTTTTGCAAAACATTTGATAAAGATTTAAAGTGTTTTTTAGAAAACCTGCACGTATAGCCATTTGAGGGGTAGAGGGATTTGAAATGAATTTTCAAAACTTATCCATATTCTACAACTCCCACAATTGAACTTGTAAATAGTTGGAAGATCTCATATTTCTCTGTCTTGACCTTTATGTCATCCAACAAAAATTGGTGACAACAGCCCTGGCTCAGTTGATTGGAGCATAGTCCCATATACCAAAAGGGTTTGCGGGTTCCATTCCCAGTCAGGGCACATACCTAGGTTGCAGGTTCAATCCCAGGTCTGGGCGCGTGCGGGAAGCAACTGATCGATGTTTCTCTCCCACATCAATGTTTCTCCTCTTTCTTCCCCCTCTCTCTAAAGTCAATAAAAGCATACCCTTGGGTAAGGATTAAAAAAAAATTGGTGACAACAGTAATTAAGGACAGTTGATTTTTAGTGTCACACACTTTGTTGTTTTTAAGTGGGAAGCTTCCTAAGGGCATGGACTCTACTACAGACTAGGCATTTATTTTTCTTTCATGAATTTCATTTCAACATATTAAAAATCCTTTATTCCCCTTAGTTTTGTGATTTTTTTTTTTTACTTTAGATATTGTTTATTTTAGATTCTAGCTTTCCCTGTATACTATAATATCTATTAAATTTTTTTTTTTAACACATCTGACAGCTGGGATGTGACAGAAATCAGTTGGGACTTAGATGAAATGCAGTGTGATGTGAATATATAAATGTGTGTGTTTATGTACATTGAATGGGGCCTGGCCTACTACTGCTCAGATAAATGTGAAGTCAGTGTGCATGAGTAGACTAGTGTACCAAAGCCTGTTGTTATAGATCTACCACTGGACTCCTCTATGTTTTGCTACAATTATCAGTGTTTTCCTTAGAGATCACAGGGCAGAAAACGTAGAACTAAAAAGGACAATCGACTAGCACAGTTTTAGCTTATTATTTACCTTTAAAATCCCTTCTTTAATGAATGTTACTAGTAAATGTTAACTTTTTTACAAGAGGAATTTAAGTGCATATTTTTATTTGGAGTCTTTTCTCCCATTTCCTTTCTCTACCTCTTAAGAAGAGCGTTCATGTGGCTATGACAGTAGGATTTTGTATGGGAGCCCGTAGTTTTCTTATCAGTATTAATGATCACACTTTTTTTCCCCCTCAAGGAAATGCCTCTGGTTGCTTCGCCACTATTGTTTTAGACGTCTTATTTTGGATTTTTCTTCTAAAACTTTCCTGGAATGAAAAACAGTGGTTGTTGGAAAGATCTTTATTTTATCTGGTATTTTTATCCTTTGTAAGTGCAACTAGAACTCCACATTTTAAATATTATTTTTTAGGGCATTTTACACTGAACAATGATGAATGTTTTTGACTTTATGTAAATACATTTGTACAGTTGTGTAAGATTGACTCCCATTTAGGTTGTTAGGTGATAGAGCTGCTGTACTTTAGGTGTACCACCGTCTCATCATCTTGATAAATACCTATTTGCCAACTATTGTCAAGCATAATGTTGTAGAATATATTTAATACTGATTTCTTATCAGTGTGCTTGTAATATAAAATTGTAGCTTTGTCCTGAAATGTTTATTCAAAGGCATTTTTAGAAATTATTTTCTCAATCACTAGCGTATTTTTCTGGTCTTTGACAACCAAATTCAAAAGTTTATAGAATCTCCAGTACATTAGAATATTTTGAAAGGGAATTCATTTCAATAGCCGGTTATAAATCTGGACTTTTTCAATTTTATTCTCATTCCTTTCTTATCTATAAAAGAAATACATAATTTTGTCTCATCATATGTAGTGCTAATAACTAAGTTTGGATTAGGAGTAAAGTTTGTAAAGTTGGTTCATTTCTGTATTTTTTATAGCCATGGGTTACAGTTAATGAAGGATTATTATGATGCATAAGTAGAATTCATCCTTTTGAAGAGTAGTGGTAAGGAAGTGGTCCTTATCCATCAAATCTGAACCTGAGGTTTTGTTTGGTCTAATATAAACTTCTATTTTATATTTATCATACTCACCAGGATTCTATATTTTGATTTAATACTGATAGTCGTGCTTCTATACTGCTTTGACAGTTCTGTTGGAGTAGCAGTATCCTGAGGTGCAAAGTCAGGTCTAGATATGTCGTATTTATAAAGTGTTAGGCTTTCATAAGCTTATGCAATCTCACCTGTACACTCCTAGCTATCAGTAATGTTTTTTCCTGGATTTTCTTCTCAGCAACCCGATAGCAGAAGGGTCAACTCTTCTGTTGGATTTTCTGTTTTGCAGCATACAAGCAATGACCCATATTGCTTTGTGGAATTTTATGAACACAGAGATGCAGCTGCTGCATTAGCTGCTATGAATGGGAGAAAAATTTTGGGAAAGGTAAGATAATAGAGTGATGCCACCTGATGAGTATATGTGCTTGCATGTCAAATTAGTTCGCATTCTTTCTTAGCAAGATTTTAAATGAATATCAAGCTCTGCTGGGTGATGGTTCTGCTTTATTCAGCCTATTGCTTTTACAAAGATTATTCTGCTTGATAAGTGATTTAATAAGTGGTAGTAGGATTTTTAATGACATGTCTAATAATTATATTACATATAATCTTTATTTTTAGGAGGTCAAAGTAAACTGGGCAACAACACCAAGTAGCCAGAAAAAAGATACTTCCAGTAAGTACTCCTGCTGCATTTTACTGTGGAAGAGTTTAAAGTTATCCTGGCAGCATTACCACCTTAAGTAGGGATTTTTCTTCCCTTAGTGTTGCCTATAAAAGGTTTAATAGGTGGCTTCTTAAGTATTTGATTACCAAATGCTTTGATTTCAGATCACTTCCATGTGTTTGTTGGGGATTTGAGTCCAGAAATTACAACAGAAGATATCAAATCAGCATTTGCCCCCTTTGGTAAAATATCGTAAGTATCATAATCAATACTATACTCAGTAGTGATAGGCACAATTGTATATGATTAACTTGTATCGGAATTAAGATTTTCTTTCCCTAGTTAGTGTGATTTTTGTTTTGTTTTGTTTTTTTGATTGGATGTTGTTGAAAATGTTAATGTCATTTTAATGTTTTGGGGTCTTGCTTTTATCTAATCCTGTGTATAATATGTTTAAAATTTTTAAGTGGTTCTGTTTGTTATCTTTGAAGCAGATGTTTGGGTGGTAAAACCTATTGATAAAGTCCAATTTTTTGTCAAATGTTTTCAATCTTTGGTGGTTAAAGATAATGGGTTAACAAAATAAATGTGACTTATACTGTGTATTAAACTTTTTATAAGTGGGGGAACATAGATAAATCCTTGGGTATATTGTGGTTAAGTTGGAAATGTATATGTTTAATTATAATGATAAATGTTATTATAGTATTAAAATGTTTCAATGTTTGAGCCATAAATTTGGGATTAATTGATAGGGGTTTTTTGCTTGTTTATTTGTTAGTGGTATTTTATTCTGCTAGTTAGGGCCCAAGTGTGGTTTGATTTAAAAAAAAATTTTTAAAACAAAGTTTATGCTCAAATTTCACTGTATGTTACTTGATCAAATATGTTGGAAAATTAAAAGTGGTTACAATTCTATAAAATGTTTATAATTTATCTTTTTGATTAAGATCCATTTGTTTTATGTATTTCCTGTAGATTTAAATTATACGTTTTAGTATTACTTTACAGGAATATGTTTCAATTAAGAACAACAATATTTTTCTGTATACAATTTGTTGTTCTATAGATTTAATTTATTTGAAAGAAAGATTTAATTCTTAATTTTCTATTTTGATATTTGCTTTGCTTTTTAATCTCTAAATGTGGTAAGTAGAAAATCAGTATAAAAAGTAATACAGGTTGCTGTTTTTCAATCTTTATTTATACCTGAGAGCTGCAGTTTTTCTAAAGTCCAAGTCACAATTAAAAGTAATAGCATTCTGGTTATTTTGCAGAATTGCTCATAAGAATGGACAGGATCTTGAAGGCTAACTGCAAGGAACTGTGCACACTGGAACTCAGTTGTAGATTTTTTTCTCATTTCTATTTATTCTTATTATACATTATTTATATATACATATTTTAGTATTTACATTTTAACATTCTATATTCAGTGGAGTTCTATATTTCCAATCATTTTAACTTACTCACTAAAATTTCTGTGTAAATTTGTTGTTTTCGTACTGGTGTGCTTAGCATTGTTGTTAGTTTTTTATTCTCCTTTCTTAAATTTCTGAAAATGTCAATTTTTCAAAATTTACAGCTGCCCAAACTCCAAAATGATGATAGAGAATTGACCAAGAAAAATAAAGAAATCTGTTAACAGGCCATGTATGCCTTTTTAATTCCTATTTTTTCCTCTTTTTCAATTTTTTAATATTTCATATATTTTGTATCACTAGGCAGAAGACATTTAACTATTTAGAGATTGCATGGTAAAGTAGTTAGCATTGTTACAGTAATTTATAGAATCAGTAAACCTTAGAGGACACTAGCCAATAGCCTATTAGAAAAGGAAACTGTTGTTCCTGTTAATCTTCAGATTTGAGCCTTTAGTTTAGAAAGCACAGGCTGTTTGATCAGGTTGCATGTCTATTACATGTTTTTGTCCTACTGCTTTTTTCTAACAGGTAAAGAAGCGTTAGGGAGAGTTCAGGGATGGCTGTAGTTAACTAGGGCCAACTGAAATTTTATTTAAAAAATGCTCACAATACAGTGTGTGTGGTTCCTTTTAGTTTTTATTTTGAGGATGACTCTTACTTCCCTCATTTAGCTGTGCTTCTTTTCACAGGGATGCCCGAGTAGTTAAAGACATGGCAACTGGAAAATCCAAAGGCTATGGTTTTGTATCTTTTTATAACAAACTGGTACGTTACTTCAACTCAATTTAAATTTAAAATAAAATTTAGTCATTAATTATTCTGAAACTTGAATATTCTTAGATGTTAATGACAAAGTTTTTGTGTAATTTTGTGCGTTTTAACAATAGAGTATAATTCATTCTGTTTTCATAAGCTTGGAAATAAATAGCTGGGAAAAGTCTGATTATAAGGAAGAGCGTGCATTGGAGAAGGGAAGATGTGATGTTGGAAGTAAGGCCCAGGACTAGGACAGATGAGGCAGTCTCAGAATTTGGAGGGAAGTTAGATTATATTTTGTTTTAACTATGACAATATCAGTTTTAACTTTTAATTATTCATACTTTTGTAGCTGGCATATTAATGCCTACAGCAAATTATGTAAATAAAAATTGAAGCAACTTACCCTGATTTTTGCATGAATTCTTTAAGAAAGAGGTACTAAAATAAGTATTTGCATTAACTATAACATCAGATCATAAAGTGCGCTTTGGTATTAGCATTTTAGAACAGTTTCAGCAACTTAAATTATCTGCACTTATTGAAGGAGTAAGATAAAGGGCAAGAGTTGTATACTTTCTTAGATTCATTGCAAATTCACATTAATTCTGAGACTCTCAACTCATTTTACAGCATTCTACAACAATGCAGAAGTCTTCTGCCTTAAAATGAGTTTTTAATCTTACATTATAGTTACAACCCATTGCTACTAGAATGTATGNGAAGTCTTCTGCCTTAAAATGAGTTTTTAATCTTACATTATAGTTACAACCTTTTCAGGGGGAGGTGATTTAGACCATAACAGAGTTTTTATATATTCTTCAGTAGAAGTTATATTACAGATCATCCATAAAATTAAAATATTTGAAAACAACTTTATCTTAAGGGATTTCTGGTTTTGTGTGTGTGTGTGTGTAATCAGTGGGATTATGATAGTTTTCTTACATATTTGAATTATGATAAGTTTCCCTGATGCTTAAATGTTGTCCTGGTATTGTGAAATCTATAAATAATGATAGCTTTTATGAATCACTCAATTTATATAATTTTCTTGTGATATAGTCCAGTTTTGTTTAGGATGCTCAATGAATTCGTTTATTGAGAGATTTATTGGATCCAGCAGTGCCAGCATTTTCTTTCATCTTACTGGTTTTATATACTACTATTTTCTTTTTGTAATTGCTCTTTCTTTTTCTCTCTCCGTAGGATGCAGAAAATGCAATTGTGCATATGGGAGGTCAGTGGTTGGGTGGTCGTCAGATCAGAACCAATTGGGCCACACGTAAACCGCCTGCCCCTAAAAGTACACAAGAAAGTAAGATATGTCTAATACATACATTAAAATTATGGATACTTCACAGAATCATGTATTAGCACAGTCTTAATTTCTTAGAAATTTTATTAGCATTGCAAGACTCATTTTATCTTGAATATAATTGAAAATAATGGGCTAAGTGTATTTGGAGCTGTGAACCAGCTGATATTATAGATTAAATCAGAGTGTTGAGAAAAACATTTTCATTCCCCTCCCAGATGAGGCATATCTTAATAAAATATACTAATTCGTTTTATAACACTGTACAGCTATCAACATTTTTGTTTTCTCTGCATATAGATAACACTAAGCAGTTGAGATTTGAAGATGTAGTAAACCAGTCAAGTCCAAAAAATTGTACTGTGTACTGTGGAGGAATTGCTTCTGGGTTAACAGGTATTGTGTTTGGTTTCCTAACCCCCTTCTCTGTGGAGCTGCATTGCTATTAGTACCAATTTTATGATAAAAATGAGCCTTGAATACTCTATTTGTATGTTTTTGTTTTTCAGATCAGCTTATGAGACAGACATTCTCACCATTTGGACAAATCATGGAAATAAGAGTTTTTCCAGAGAAGGGCTATTCATTTGTCAGGTAAAATTCTTCCTGTAATATTACTCTTACATTCGATCCATTCCTTTCAGTTACATTATTTGAGCCCCCTAGGTATCAGCTTGTTATTTTAGTACTTCTTTGCAATATAGAACTTTAAACTACCTATGTAAGGTACTCCAGGATACCAGCACCAAGTCGACACTTACAAACTAATGAGTGTGTAAACTAATTTACTGTGGTAAGTTCTTTTAAAAAACTTATATTTTTTCTCTCAGATTTTCAACCCATGAAAGTGCAGCCCATGCCATTGTTTCGGTGAATGGTACTACAATTGAAGGACATGTTGTTAAATGCTATTGGGGTAAAGAATCTCCTGATATGACTAAAAACTTCCAACAGGTAATTCAATTTTTCCTAACACATTTTAAGGTTTCTATCTTACATATCTACATAAAAGCTTTAGAAACTATGAAATAAAAAAAATGAAGCATATATCTGCTTTCAGTTGATTTTATTAATGCTGTTTCAAAAGTGATTATTTTGTGGTATTAACTGAATCTTAATACTTTCTTTTCACAGGTGTCACCACCCCAATAAACTTAGACAATGATAAATAACAGAGTCCTATTCACATAAGGGTGCTTACTTAGTTTTTCTCTCCCTTGTTCCCCCTTCTTCAAAGACTGTATTTCTTACCTGTCCCCTAAAACAGTAATTTGCTTTTTCCTAGGTCGACTATAGTCAGTGGGGTCAGTGGAGCCAAGTTTATGGAAACCCACAACAGTATGGACAGTATATGGCCAATGGGTGGCAAGTACCGCCTTACGGAGTATACGGGCAACCATGGAATCAACAAGGATTTGGAGTAGAGTAAGTTTGGGTTTTTCTGGTATAAAAACAGATATGGTTCTGACAAAAGAAATATAGTGTGTTTTCCTAGGGAGAATCTATTTTAAATTAAATATATTGAACTATTCAGAAACCTTATGAAAAGTGACTTATGATGCTAAAAATTTATTACCTAGGTGAAAAGGGAGGTTGGGGCAACATTTGGTGTGTCCTACTACCTCTATAAGCAGTTGGTAGAATTTGATTTACATTTCTTACATACTATTTTATCGACTTGTTTTTTTTGCATGGAAAAGATCTTTGTCTAGATACGTTCAGAAACTTAATGACATATACCTTTTGGCTTGTGTGAAGTCTCAGAGGCTTGTCTGACTAAGAAAGTAGCTTCTTTTCCTTCGGTGATAGAGTGGGCTGGCCCCTTGCACTTTCATCCCCCCAGGCAGCCACCTTTATTTCCACGCATTCCTCCTTTCTTCTATTTCAGACATGAACTTGTGTTTGTAAAATTTCTTGTAAATGGATACACCATGTCCAGTATAATGACAGGTAGATGATGTGTTGAATCACTTGTCATTTCTTTAAAATCAGTTTTGAGAATCTTCAGAGACGTCGCTGTGCTAAGTTGTGGGTATTATCTTAACAAAAGTTTCAGACTAATATTGTAATAAGTATTCCACATATGTGACTATATGTCATTTATTTCTTTGTTCTTTGATGTAGGTTTGTTGATTCCTTGTTGCCTATTCAGTGATTTGGCTCTGCTTACCTTTGTATAAACATATAGATAATTTTCCCTTTGTGTTTGCTGAAGTGTTTTATTTTTTATTTTTTTCCAAGTCAATCACCTTCTGCTGCTTGGATGGGTGGATTTGGTGCTCAGCCTCCACAAGGACAAGCTCCTCCCCCTGTAATACCTCCTCCTAACCAAGCTGGATATGGTATGGCAAGTTACCAAACACAGTGAGCTGGGACTCTAAACAAAATTGTAATTCATGATAGCTTCAGTTTCCTGTGACACTCTGAAGACATGGAAGTAGACATCGGAACATGAAAATATTTATTTTAAAAATTGAAATGTTTGGAACCTTTAGCACAGCTTTGCTTTGGTGAAGGACACATGTCTTCTAGTCCTGCCTTTTTAAGTTTTTGTTCATGATGGATATGAACATGATTTTTCTTTGTGTACAAAAACTAAATAAAGTCAATAAAGACAATTCTGACTACAAATTTTGATATAATAGGAAAAATGGGTAATACATTTTGATTACTAGATACTATTCCATTTTTATCTTGCTGTTCAGTATTTTAACTCACTGTTTTTAAAAGAGCAAAAAAAGGGAGGATCATGAGAACTGGGAATCACATATAAGTTCATCCTGAATCTTGGTACCCCCTCCCTTACCCTGAGGTGGACCACATTCGAAGTCAGCAGAAAGAGTGTGATATTGAGAAGAAATGCGTGGTTTTGGAGTCGCTTTGGAGGAAATACTTACTTTATGCTTAAAGAAACTGAAGCCAGACTGATAAAGAAATTTTGCAACCTAAATAAGGAACAGCAATGTCTGAGCTACTTGAGCCAATGTTGGTGATCCACATATTTTTAAGACTTTAAAAAGTGTTGATTATTAAAACTGTAGTATATTACATTTCATTTGGGGGGGAAATTCCAAGTATGGTGTTTGTATTAAAGTCAGACAGTCATACTTATGCTTTTACATGAAGTTTAAATGATATACATTGTAAATATTAACTACAGTGTTTAAAAAGCATGCTTCAGCATAGAAGTAGCAATGTAATTATTTGAAGTAACACTTAACACACTCCACTGCATTGAATGTAGTGGATTGATAAGAATGTTTAAGACTGACATTTCCAAGGTTGGCTACTATGTAAAATTAAAATTATACAAATTACTATACAGAAAAAGCCTTAATTTTAATTTCATACAAATCTTTGATGCATTAGGACATTTTAAAATGCCACTGGAAATTAGATTTTTCTTTGCTTTTTCTTTTTCTTTACATCACTTGGTATGTAAATACCTTGATTAAAACCTTGTAAACCATTTCAAGGTTCCTATAAATTGTATAATACAAGTGTTTTTTAAAAAAATCTTGGGGTGTTTTTTAAAATTAGATATATTTTGCCCAAGAATTTTTTAAACAAGATTGCTAAAACATCTTATTTAGACAGTTCAATGTACCAATTTATAATTGGATATTCAGCTTAAATAGTACACAGAGTTGTGACTTTTATTTTTAATTAATTTGTTTCTCTTGTATGGGTAGCGTGCATGGGATGACAAGCCTGAACAGAGGCTGAGTTGTGTATGAGTGCAGTCTGTTTTGAATTAGTTGGGAAGGTGGATAAGATTGAGGTTTGTTTCTGAGGTATTTTTCAGGCTGTGTGGTTAAAATCTGCCTCAAATTTTTATCATAACAAGAATGTAAAAGATAAAATCCTCTGTATTTGAATTTTGACAGCTAGGGGGTGCAAATGTTTAGGCAATATATTTGAAATGTTTTGAGGCCTGGGCAAAACGAGAAAACCCTTTATAGTTAAGTAGTAAGTTGCAAAATGAGAAAACCCTTTATAGTTAAGTAGTAAGTTGCAACTAATACCCACAGATTACTATTTAAACTTTTGAAGTCTTAAAATTAGCTTTGAAATAATGATGGTTTTATAAATTGGTAACCACAATGATTTTGGTATTATTTTCCTTCTTCCCTCATTTAGAAATATAGCCAATGTTACTAAACCTGAAAATTCAGAGTCTGAAGTTCACCTTTGGGCCAAATTTTTTATGGCACTTTAGTTTTTGAACCACAGTAGTCATCTAATACACTCTATTATAAAATTTACCCTTATTTCTTTTGTTTATGGTTAGTGTCTTTGGGGGATGTTGTGGAAAAGTTATTTTATATTTTATAAGAACACTCAAATTATATCAATTATGCCTCCTAGTAAAAAATTTCTTGAATATATGTGAAACTTGAACAATTAAAGATTTTTTAAAAAATATATTGATAAAAGCCTATTAAATTCTCAGTTTGCCTTTTTTGATCTGCCATTAAATTAAGTAGTTTATTATGATAACAGCTAAAATACAGCTGTTTCCTAGTTGTATATTCTATGAGTTAATAAAATTACAAAAGGACTAATTATATTGCCATAGTAAACATATGACTAAAGTGTCCTTTGTCTTAGTCTGAAAGAACAGAATTTCATCATCAGTTCAGTTAGTGGAAGTTACTTCATAGTAAATGGTTTTTTAAATATCCAAATAAAATGCACCATTTTAGAAGAAAACTGTGAAGCTAACACAGACTCATAACAGTGAAGTCAGTACTATCTTGACCCAATTTAAGCCTAAGAATTGTTGCCTTTTCCGTGTTCGTTAGAAACAGCAGCAGAGGTCCTCTGGCATGCAAGTAATGTTTCTTATTTTGTAATTATTTTGAGGTTGATTTTGGTGATGTTTTTGATTGCCATCTTCTTTGCTCTAATCTCTCTACTAGTATTTCCCCCATGGCATTCCCACTTGACTTTTATGTCTGCTGGCAGTGACAGGCTAAAATGACTGGCCAACTTAAGCCAAAGCTGTAAACCACAGTTGTAGGTCTTTCAATAAAGACTAGACTATATGATAAGTGGCCTTTTCTTATTGTCGTTTATTACATAATCCTTCCAGGTTGCCATGAAATAAGCAATTTTATTTTATTAGTAAGGTATGTGGAGTATACATATATTCAGGACCTATTTTTGTGTTCTGTGTAAGTTCATTAGCTTTGTTGAAGTAAAACTTAATTTCTGGATATGGAGGAGTAGAAATTTGGACCCTCTAAAAACGTATGCTGTTGAATATTAATAGAGTAAAGTCTCATTAATTTAGAGTCCACAAATGGTGGAAACCATTATTTTGCCACGTCTAGGTTGATCTTTGGTAGTGAGTAAAGACTGCATTCAACAGAAACTAAGAATTTAGTAAATTATCTAGACACTTTTCTAGCAGGTATTCCCAAATTAAATCTTACATACTCATATTGCCAACATCTTTGTCTTACAGGCTCTGATCATTTTTATCCAGTTTCCTTAGGTTTGTTTTTATTAGTGTATCTACATGTGTATTAGAAGGTTGGGCATATGCTATTTAAAAATACTGCCCTTTGAGCATTTTCAGTAAAATAATGGGGTCAGGATATCTGTCAAAATCCACACTTAGTTTATTAAAACCAGGAATCTATCTTATTTTTAAAAATGGATGACCATTCCCAGGTTGCTTTACCTCTTTTATGTCTTTGGTTATGTCAGTCTCCCTCCACTAGAATGTAAGCTCCATGGGGGCAGGGACTTTGTTTTGATAACTGCACAAACCCCAGGACTTATATTAACTACTTGGCACGTGGTAGATGTTCAGTAAATGCTGAATGCCTGAGTGCAGCTGAAGTGAAGGCAAACTGCATTGTAGTCTCCCCTGGGAAACAACGCACCACTTGGTATTCTACTTGAGCAGACCTTTAATTGGCAGGAGTCCCTTTTTCCTCTTGTAGCTCCTGTCAGGGGAAGCAAACCCTGTTGGTCAAGGTCACACATATTCCAGAAAAACTTTCTGGGGTCTGCGATCTCTGTGGTTGCTACTCAATATAGTCCGTCAGAGCATCTTTCAGAGGGGGTTAGGCTATGCTCCCAATGGTGATGGGTATGGCACACCACGTAGGAAACATGCTCTTCCAGAATGTGGGTGATGCTGCACCATGGTGCTGGCTAGTTTGGGGAGGGTTATTTTTGAGAAAGGGGGGCAACCAGCAAGGCAGAACTGGGTTCCGGACAGGCAGCATCTGAGTATAACAGACAGCTTGGAAACAGCCATGGGAAGTGACAGTTAAGATTCTGGAAGTGGCATTTATATTTATAGCACGTAGACATCTAAGGTTACTGAAACGTTAGAACTGAAGGCAGTTTCTTAATTGTTTAAGTGAGAAACAACTTATAAAAGACTTGCAGCAGCAGGTAATAGTTCTGTTGATCTTCCATGGTGTGTACCCCCATGTGGGTGCACAGTTAAGTGTTATTTAAAATGCTTTGCCTTTCTGTGGCCGGTAAATGTTTACTGAAGGCCTTATGTTCTATGTGCTTAGTTTGGCTGGATCTTAAGTGTGCCCTGAATCTAGTACTGTCAAATGCAAAGGCTATACATATCTGGAAATTACTTGCATTTACTTTCAAGTATTTATAACCTTACTCAGCTTCAAGCAAATGCTTTGTTTTGACATTAAATTTGGTGATGATTTTTTTAGACCTACTAGCCTGCGAAAGCAGAAACAACAAAAACACGTCACTCTGTCATCGGCTGCCCCCCATTCTCACCCTGGTCTGAACTACCCCCTTTCATCTGCGCTGCGGCAGCAGCTTTCCACCCAGTCTATGGAGCCTAGAACATGACCCAGAAAAGTACACGTGTGCACAGCTCTGAATTTTCACAACGTGGACACGTACGTGTCGTGGCACCAAGATTGGGAAACAGGATTTGGCTGACACCCCAGAGACCTGCATGCTCTTTAATAGTCTCTCATCCCCCCTCTTTCCCTAAGATAACCACTAACCTGATTTCTATGACCATAGATTAGTTTGCGTATTTTTGAACTATGTAAGTGTGGAATTCAGCAGTATATGTATATATTTTTATATATATTTAAAAAAGCAAACCAGAAAATAGTGTTGATGAAATTGGAAATATGGAGAAATTAGAACCCTTACGCACTGTTGGTGGGACTGTTAAGTGGTGCTACTGTTTTGAAAAACAATATGGAGGTTCTTAAAAAAATTAAAAACAATACCGTATCATCCCACAATTGCACTGATGGGTGTGTACACAAAAGAACTGAAAGCAGATGCTCGGAGAGATCCTTGTACACCCTTGTTCATAGCAGCAGCATCCACAATAGCCAAGAGGTGGAAGCAACTCAGAGGTCCATCGACAGATTAATAAACTAAGTGTATATGAAAACAATAGATTATTCAGCCTTTAAAGGGAGGAAATTCTGGCACACGCTACAATTTGAACCTTGAAGACACTATGCTAAGTGAAATAAGCCCATCACAAAAAGACATGCCACTATGATTCCACTTCTCCAGGGTATCTAAAGCAGTCAAATTCAGAGAGGAAAGGAGAGCAGTGGTGGTCTGGCCGGG